CATTCTTAGGAATGTCTAAATTCATTTAAACTAGCAATTCCGTATTATATTTATAAATCTTTATAACATTATACAAAAATTAGATTTTTCTTAAAAATTGAAATTTTGCCGGGAATGGGGCTTTAACTTAAACCATACCTGCCAGAAGAGAAATTCCAGTGCTATTGCATCGTGATTGAGAAACAGTTCTTGCTGAAGTGAAAACACCCATTTCCTAAGACATATTCCGACAGAGCCTGCAGACGAGTAATTCTGAACTTGAATGTTGTGTGGAAATTCCGTGGGACTTAATTTACGTTCTGAAGGAAGAAAATTTTAAAGAATGGTTGATGACATGCAGCAATAATGAATTAAGATGATATTAATGAATTCAACTTTGAATTTTATATGATAATACAAGATACAAAATGTTTCGAGATATGTGGGCAACCACCAAACAATGAAAATAACACTAGTAACAATAATAATTTTTTCACAATGATATTAATTCAAGCTTCTTTGCATAAATATAGATTATTATCAGACATATTTCTGCTAATAGCAAAATAATTACAATATAAAAAAGCAATAACAATTATGTTTAAATAATATCAAAAGAATAGAATACAAATAATCACCATCATAACAATAACACATGATAATACTGGCATTAATATAAGCATACTGTAACCCCAAAATCTGAGTAAATTTCCCAGAAAAATGTCCACTCCTTATTGGTATTGGTAATGGGTATTATTTATATTGTACCATACCCTTGCAGTTATGAAGTGCAAAGACTTGCATATATTACAGTACATTACAGTATGTACCTCAGATAACAATTTTTAAAGTATACTAAACTATAAACTAAATTACATCAACATTTAATTTATATTAAAATTATTATCACTATATCGGACAAGATTTTTTTTATACCTTGTTTAGCGAACATGCTGCCCGCCAATAATGATAATTTTAAACAAAAATAAAATTATATTTTTGGCCAATTACGCATCTGCCACCACAAAAAAAAAATGGAAATTTTGGAAAAAAATAAAAGATCTCTATTTTTATTACGCCTGTCACTGCCTAGAAATCTCCAAAAATAAGTTATGCATATTTCTTCCTGATTATATAAAAAAGCATTTTACCATCAAATTTTATCACTGTTACATTGACCAATAAAATTTCATTTTTTCTTTTTCTCTGTCTGGATATTTTTGGCAAAACCACTTTCTAAATAAGAAAAAATTGTATCTTTTTCCGCAATCCTCTGATGACCTTTAAAACAATAAGCTGACGAAATAAGGTATAAAAAAGTCTTGCCTAGCCTATGTATCTTTTACTGTTTAGATTATAAATAAGAAAAATAATTATAAAACATGACTATTGGAATACAGTTTGTTTGTATAGACTACAAGTAGATAATATATTCAAATTGGAATCCTTATAACCGCTTGGGGGTGTCACTTTGTAATTTGTACTGCATGTGTGATGAAATAAATGAAAAGATGTGAATTAATAAATCGAATATGAAAGCGATATTTTGAAAGAGGTGACAAATGATATCACATCATCATTCTACATCATACACAAAAGATCAATTCCTTTCTACGTTATCCATTTCCAACACCATATTCTAGCAAATACAGAGTTGCGTTTCAGCTTTAATATTAATAAACTTGGAAAACAAAAAATTAAATATTTGAATTGGTTGTACCTTATATTTATACTTTTCAGATTTCAATTGAAATTTTAGAACAAAAAATTAACACAAGCATAATTAATATCGTTGCTATACTGTATACTTTGCATAAGACATTTTAATTGGATAATAATAAATTTAATTTTTTTTAAATGTCTGTAAATCAGTAAAAACTTCTGAATTGCTTTGATTAGTGTCTCATTAAAAATTAATTGGGAAGAATTTTATCCTTTTTGAGAAATTCAAAATATTTTAATATTTAATCATCTCTGCCAAGTATATTGTTAAGAATTCATCGATGTCTGTCTGTCTGTCTGTAAGGAGGATCACACTAACACCAACAAATACAACATCATCATAATATTTAGTAGAGTGGCACACGTTGATCTAAAGGAAAAGATGACTACATTTTGGGATGAAAAGTCAAAGGACAAGGTCAAGGTCACAGAAATTCTAATCTACCTCCCCTCAAGCTTTAAAAAAATGGTATAGCCAATAAATGCCTTGCTGTGTATTATTCGGCTTCAAGCACAGGCAAATAAAAAAAAAAATCAGTTTTAGATGAATTTTTTTCATGGTTCCGAGGTGTTGATAAATATGTATGGACCTGTCCTAGGCCAAATGGCTTTTTGCCTGTAGTTTGTCTTTTGGTGCTTAAAATATATCCCACAAGTACATTTTTAAACAGAAACTCGAAAATTGGTCGGGAAATTACCTTTCACAATAAAATTATTTAATTTATGTGAGCTATTCAAAACTTTAATCGAATGTTCCAAGATTTTTAAAAATATTATAACAAATAATTGAAAGTTTAATGTCTCTTTAAGTCAACAATATACACCAATTCTTTTTTCTATTTAGCTCTCTATACTTCTTCTCTCTATACTACTTCTTTTTTTTTTTCAGGATACTGGAACACTTTTTAGGTTGGGTAGTGATAGGCTCGTTGTGGCACTTCAAAATTTTCTCTCACAGCAATACTGTAGTACTGAATCACCATCATGAATTTCTTTGGGTCGTGTAACTTAATATAATTATGTGTTAAGAGCAAATTCCCATTCTTAATGGTAATAGGAAAAATGATTATATTAATTATTAAAGAGTTCTTGTTTGTTTGGAATTAATTAATAAAAAAAAATGGCCCAAAAAAAATTACCTTTTTAAATCACTTAACAGCTTGTGTCCTAAACTGTTAATCTGCCATTTGCATTAACATAAATATCCATAAATTCTACTTGCTTTTAGCTGAGTTGATTTTACTCAGTAATGAGCTACTTGGGAATTGGATACTGGCATAGAGGATTTGGCATACGGACAGTTGGCCCAATACTGGATAATGAACTACGGTAATACAGTATTACAGTACACTATAAAATGTACAGATATTATGAACAAAGTATTGAACAGAATCAAACATATAGTACAAATATTGCACTTACACCAGGTTTTCAAGTGTTAAATACATAGTATAGTATGTATTACATTGTACTGTATAAATATGATTATGATCAGTTTACAAGTGCAACTAAGTATTTATCACATTAAACACTAAAAAGTATGTCTACAATATTCTAGAACTAGAAATTGCAAATTGCAAGTGAAGTGCTGCGAAGTACAACTGCATATAAATATTCTTCGAACAAAATTATTTATGCGAGTCAAGTGAAAATAATGAATAATAAAATTATAACAAATAATATGAGACACGACCCATTGTCTATATTAGAACACTTCTCATTGGGTAACAAAGTCGTATTTTTCATTTTTGTCAAAAAGTGTCTATAGTGTGGTGAATTATGGTTTAGGTTTTTTTTTTAATAAAGTTTCAAAAAATTATATGTATGTGGAAAATGTAGTTGATTACCAAAGGTTACAATTTTTATTTTGAAGACTGCATGGTCTAGGAAGTGTACATTTTTTTATGGGGCAAGTTTCCAAGGGCGGGTTTTCTGGGCGAGTTGACTGCCAAAGAGTGTTGTCAAAGTGCGAGCCAGTGTG